ACGTGTTCAGGGTACTTATGATGAACAGCGAGAAACAGCACTGTGCTTGATAACATATGGAGCCTCTGTCTACCTACAAGATAGTGTAATGTATAGAAAAAAAAAATGATTCCGAAGGATTAGTCAATGTCTTTATTACAATAATACAAACATTCCTAATAACCAAAACCAACCTAATACATAAGAGCATTGATTTCCATTCTATACGAATGAATTCCATCAATTATTCTTGAACCAATAAATATTGTGATACTGATAGTGTTGGTCATTCCTTTGAATTATTATTTTCACCATTATCATTTATAAATCTTCAAAGCTAAAATATTTCCCTTTGTTGTGCTGATGTAGTGTGCAGCTGCCATCCAGTGAAATATACTATAATTTTTCATATGAATTTGTTATTACAGGAAGGGAGTACACCTCTTGATTATTATGATCGTAATGAATGTAGTCAATATGAAGTATCAACAAAGGAGGAAAAGAAAGATGAACTTAAAAAATTGCTTATAGGTAAGTTATCTGTTGTACGTTAAATATTCCTTAACCTCATTGGCAAAAATCACAGAGCTTGCCTTATTTGGAAGAACCATGTCGTAAGCCTCAGATAGCTTTCTAGACATGGCTATACCTATAAGTACTAATAGCTAGTTGGGTGCCACTTCAGTGGACGCCTTGTGGGTCCTAACCCCAGCCCCTTTTTTAGGATGCCTTTGGAAGAAAATGTGGTAAATATTTAATTAGTCAATCATGCCAATTTTATTGTAAATTTAAATTAATTTTAACCAAGTATTGCATAAGATGAAAATGAAACATACCTGTAAATAAACAATATATATTTTTAATATTAATGGAAAGCCTAATATTTTAAACTGTATTTTATTATGATTTTTATGCTTGAAATGAAGCAATGGCACGTCAACAGCGTATCCTAAATAATCCAAAAAAATCGTATGACAGTAATCGCTCCTGCAAGATGCTGGAAATGCCACCTCGTACTTCTAGAGAAAAAAGATTTCTGATGTTTTTGACTCAGCCCCTGCCCCCTTGTTAATATCTCTGGATCTCTCATGTATATCCCATTGCAAGTGTACACTGCCCACAAAACTTGTCACTGAAAGAAACAGTAAAAACAAAGTTACACCTATTACATGCACTCGATGAATGCGATCCATGCATTGAGGCTTTTCTGCATGGATGTGCCATACAAGTCCAACTATTATAATTTATTTTTACAGCATTATGGTTATTTCAGTAGTCTGGCTGTAGCTTAGACCTAGTGGAAACATTGATCAAATTATCTGCATTCTTCACAACAACAATGAATCAAAAGTAAAAAGAACAGAAAAATAAAGTAAAAAAATTTTTTAAAAATCAACTTCACTTAACATTTTGAAAATTTGAGGCAAAAAATACTACAAAATTAAAAAGGTTAATATACAATGTAAGTAAAAAATTATCAATCATTGTTATCTGGATGTCGTGTCAAAGGGCAAAAATCAATCCTGTGATATGCATATGGTTCATAAGAATACTATACATTTGTACTCTTAAATTTCAGTTCCTTTATTATTCTTATAGCTTTTTATTTTAATGTTATTTTCTGTTTGACCTTTTTATGTTCTAGAAGTAGTTAAGTCTCTCAGTGTTTCAACACCTTGATATAACATTACATATTTTGATGTGTTATTTTCTGAAATCAGTTTTTACTGTGATGGTAATTTTTTTTGAACAAAATAATCACAGTATGTTTAATGTAAACTATAAAAGGGATGGAAGAAATATGTAGCTTAAGAATACTACTGTAGTATACTAAATAATATTTGTTATATTTTATATCCATAAGAGCTATCAGTTCCAGGAGAAATATTAGCAAGAGGTCCTGAAGCCATTAAAGCATTCACATATGAAGTCCAGAATGGGGAAATTACGATGGTTAATTCCAGAGTCATGTTCTTGGGCAAAGAAGGAACGGGCAAGACAAGTTGTGTCCGTTCCATGCTTGGCAAAGTGTAAGTACAGAACAAGGCCTTGTTTTTTATGTAATTGTATAGTCTGTTGGCTTGCAGTCAGAGCCACAGTATTACAACATTCTTATAGTATCATATATGTTTATCACTCCTAGGCGACTGATTATCTAGGATTTTTTGCAATTGTTTAAAAGATTTTAAAAGGGCATTTCTGCCCATTGGCTCTTGATATAGCTGTAATTTTAAAAGGGTTTAATTTTTCCTTTGTATGCATTGAGTACAGTACTACATCACACACACACAACACATCACTACAGCATGGTACATATGACACCATTTTCTTACTGAGTGCCTCCAGAGGAAACTGTTATTCAAAAACTAATTTAATGTTCGGATAAAAACCTAATGTAAGGATGAAAACTTGGCATATACAGTAGTAATTATCCTGTGTATATTTGATTGTGAATATAAGTTTATAATGCAAAACTAAGGATATATTATATAATTTTGATTGTTTGACAGTACTATGTACTCTGTTGCTGATTTCGAAGTTATAAAAGCAAGGTTGATTTCAAAATATTATTTTAAAAGTTAACGAAAAAATTTGGTATAAGTATGTCATTATTTAAATTTATAAATCCATTGCATATAATATAATTAACTTTACATTTTTCCTGTTTCCAAGTATTCATTGATTTGGTATAATTATATTTATTTAATAAATTATTATTTGGTATAATTATATTTATTTAATAAATTATTTTATTATTATGTTTATCTAAATGTCAATAGATTTAAAAACAACGAACCATCAACAGATGGTATTGTAACAACAACAGTATTTTATACTGTTAATGGAGATTTCATCAAATGGAAGGAACAAAAGGATGTGGATGGTATGAATATTACACTTTTTGAAATATACATAATTTAATTTACAAATATACTGTCTAAATATTATACACTGTTATTTTTATTAATTATTTTGATGACATGTTTTTGCAAATAGAAGGAACAAAAGGATGTGGATGGTATTAATATTATACATTCTTAGAATATAATTTAATTTACAAATTGACTGTCTAAAATATTTTAATTCGTTATTTTTATAAATTATTTAATGACGTTTTTTCTTGAAAACTTTTCATTATTGTACAGTTTGTGAATTAACCAAGCAGATACGTGAGCATACCATTGCAGAAAATGTCGCCAAAAGGCTGAAGCAGCCAAAAAGCCATCAAAACTCATCTAATTCTGCATCATCCAGTTCTACAGCCTCCTCAACAGTAAACTTTTATTTATTTTAATATGCAAAAATTACTTAAAAAAATTTTATTGAAAGATGTTCTTTTAATTTTTGAATATGTGTTTTTTACTTAGCGGTCAGGCTAATATGAAAATCACTGGTTCGAATTGCTGTGTACATTTTGAACTGACCTAGATTAGTGATTCTTAAATGTTTAATTACAGATGCCATCAGAAGCAGCAAAAAATATGACAAGCTATACCAGTAAACTCCCTGAAGAAGGAATTCATAAGAAACTTGTTGCTAAACTTGCTATATCTGCCAGTGCCCATCCTGATAACCCATTAGAACAATTAAGTGCATCTGGGGAGGGATTTGACAAGAGTTTTGTACCAAGTGATGTCACATGCATTTGGGACTATGCTGGTCAGCTGACTTACTATATATCACACAGAGTAAGTAATACTGTAAATTCTACTGAAAGCTATATTTCAAAATTACTGTATGTTTTCTTGTGATTTGGCATGCGACTCTGGTGAGAGTGGAGCAGTGGTGTTGTGGTAAAGGTGGTTGACTTCCACTCTAATTTTCCTAGGTTTCAATCCTTTTAGGAAACATTAACATTAATGTTGAGAATTACTTTATAGAACATCACAGTTTATATTTATTTAAAAAAGCTCCTGAATATCAGCTGAATTTATGGCCTTAGCTGGAAGAGTCACCCTCTATATGTGGTTCAAATCAAATATTATTTTTTTGTGTTGTCTGTGTACCTGTATATAACAGTTCTTGTAGTATTTGCAGGATTTCAATCTCTCTTGTTAAGTGACTTCATTTTTCAGTGATCAGTCAAGGGTAGCACCTGTGGGGCCTGGCTTGGAGAAATGTCCCAATTCATCATGAAAAAAAAAATTTTTTTCTACATATTAGTAAAAATTGATTTTATATTAAGCATTTGATTGAGTGAGGATTTGAACCCCATTGAATTGTAATATATTTCGGGGCTTCTTGCCCTGGAACACTTTCGACACCCAACCACAGCCACTTTTTTCACATCAGTGACATCAGTATTCCCCCTCCAATTGCAAATTCTTGCACCACCCTGTGTTCGTTTGTAAAATTCCTGATTTTATTAATTATTTGTTAAGTTTAAATTTTTCTCTTCTTCTTCCTAGTTTTTTCTGACAGATGGATCATCTTACTGTGTTGTATTCAGTGTGTTAGATGATTTGGATGCCCTTGCAAACCCAAGAGATTTCCAGCAAGTAAATACACCACTTAATCGTCATTGCAGGTGTCTAACCTTAATTAGTTTTAATGCATCAAATAATCATATACCATTTTGAAAATGATGTGGCAATTGTTTACTTTTTCAGGGACAATTTGAAATGACAAATCTTCAGATGAATGTGTTTTGGATGCGGTCAATATACGAACACGCTGTACTACCCTATCGCGAAAGGACACAGAAGTTAATCAATGGCATATCCTCACCAACGATTAGTTTAGTTGCCACACACAAAGATAGACTATTGGGAACCGAGTCAGAAAATGACAAGCTGGTGAGACATTGTCTGTTTTTTAGTAGAATTACATTGTTTTTTCTTTAAATCTTCAAAACATTTACTAATACTTTTAATTTTGTTCAAAGATCAGAACCAAGTTCAAAAGAATGTTTGATGAAATAAAAGGAACACCATATGCAAGCCATGTGGATCGTGAGATGTATGTTGTAGATAACACTGCGGCTATTGATGAAGGGATTGAGAAATTGAAGAATAATGTTGGAAAATACATGAAGGCAACGGTAAAACCTATTCCCACTAGCTGGGTTGATTTCCAAACCAAAGTACAAGATGTTGGAAAAACAAAACTCCGTCTTTCTTTAGATGAGGTAACATGCTTGCTTATTCTTTTAGATTAGCCATTCAAATTTATAGTTTTAATTATTGCGGATTCCTTTCGATTTAAATAGAATTTAATGGTTGTATTCACAAAGTTACCATCACATTGGTTAATCTTTTATTTTCTTATTTATTTAGCATTTCGTGTCCATTTTAGTGATGTTATTGTAATGTGTTTTTATGGTCTGTTGTTCAACTTCAAATTTTTATGACAAAAATTGCAATAAAGCTTCTCGTATCGTATTGATTCTGATTCTGATTTTTTCAATGGAATTCTCTTCTCATTCAACATTTTTTAAGGTCGCAGAAATTGCATCTAAATGTGGAATTTCTAAAGCAATGCTTAACACTGTCCTCGATTATCTAAATGACACTGGAATAATTCTGTACTCTAAGACTAACGAGAAGTTAAAGTACACAGTTATTACAAACTTACACATGATGATCGACATTGTGACAAAAGTCATCACAGTAGTGAAACCTGATGATATTGACAAGGTAAGCAATATACTGTAGCAATTACCTCCTGTACTTACTTTCTGGTGGTTATTTTGATTTATCATTTTTATGATGTTTAATAATTATGTTCATATTTTCTTGTAGTTACCTATACTGATGCAATGGCATAGGCTCGACAGTGAGGGAATTCTACAAGAGCAATTGCTACGTCATTTGTGGCGATTTGAGATAGAGAAAGATGCCTGCAACTTTGATGTTTTTGTAGAACTAATGAAGAAGTTTGGATTGCTGTTTGAGAAACAAAAGGTAAGCTGCTTCTTATCATTTAGCAGAAGTAACTCTTTCTTAATATGTATGTGCATAATTCTTGTGCATAAATTTTCAAAACTTTTTGAGATTCATAATATGCCACATCAATGCTCATGTTTTCAAAGGGATCTCAACCTGGCAACCGAATATTCATGGTTCCCACTCGGATGCAAATCAATAAAGAGGGCTTGGAAGTTAAGGAAGACGAGCAGCAAACGGTATCGATTTATGTGACGCCTATCGACTTCCTACCGGATGCTGTCTACAATCTGCTGGTGGTTTCGTTTTTAGACTTGATGAATGACAAAGGTAGAAGTAGTGATGATGTGGAATTGTTTCGGAATCGTAGTGACTTTGACTTAGATGATGAGCATGTGGTGAGTCTAGGAGCTGTCAAAATCAAGAACAGGCATGCACTGAAGGTAAGATGCGATGTTAAAGGTTAAGCATAATTATTATTTTAATGTAATAAAACTGTCAGTGTAGAATTATGTTTTAAATAATATATTAAATATATAAGTTATCTATGTTTAATATATAAACAGTTACATTTACATTTACATTTATATATAGAGTATACATTTGTATATTTAATGTTATAATACAGGTATTTGTAAGCCTACATTGCTTGGTATGTCATGCTATTTTTGTGCCAGTAAAAACATTGTCAGACCAGGCAGCTCAATGTAATTTTATTGCCAAATAAATTGTAAGTTGAAATACAGCTAGACCTCTATGTCATCCGGAACAACCCTTTAAAGCTGGGCAACCAGTGCACCCGGTGGATTTCAGACACAAGCCGTGTGCACCAGATCACTTTTAATGACGATCCGTCCACCAACAATTAGCAGGCGGCTTCGCATTGCAGCGCTCACAGGGAACGAAGTTGCATTTGTAGTGCAGTCTATGCC